AAAGTTGCAAAAATTCCTGAAGATTGCAAAAATTTCAAAAATTCCTGAAAATTTTGAAAATTCATGAAAATTGCAAGAATTCCTGAAAATTGCAAGAATTCCTGAAAATTGCAAAAATTGCAAAAATTCCTGAAAATTGCAAAAATTGAAAAAATCCTGAAAATTGCAAAAAAATTTCAAAAATTCCTGAAAATTGCAAACAACTTGCGAAAATTCCTGAAAATTGCGACAAATTCCTGAAAATTGCAAAAATTCCTGAAAATTTTGAAAATTCATGAAAATTGCAAAAATTGCAAAGATTCCTGGAAATTGCGAAAATTGAAAAAATTCCTGGTAATTGCAAGAATTGCAAAAATTTCAAAAATTCCTGGAAATTGCAAAAATTCCTGAAAATTGTAAAAATTTCAAAAATTCCTGAAAATTGCAGAAATTGCGCAAACATTTCAAAAATTCCTGAAAATTGCGAAAATTGCGAAAATTCCTAAAAATTGCAAAAATTCCTGTAAATTGCAAAAATTCTTGAAAATTTTGAAAATTCATGAAAATTGCAAGAATTGCTAAAATTCCTGGAAATTGCAAAAATTGCAAAAATTCCTGAAAATTGCAAAAATTGAAGAATTCCTGGAAATTGCAAAAATTCCTGAAAATTGCAAAAATTCCTGAAAATTGCAAAAATTGCAAAAATTCCTGAAAATTGCAAAAATTTCAAAAATTCCTGAAAATTCTGAAAATTCATGAAAATTGCAAGAATTGCAAAAATTGCTTTTGGGTGTATGATAAATTGACATTCATCATACAGGGCGTGGAAATGAATTCTGAATTGAGACTCTATCACGAATCTGCGATTAGAGGTCTATTAAAATCACAAGTTTCCATCGTTCAAGTTTGAACCCCCTGATTGGGTATGAAAGTGTTGAAAAGGAATATTCTCAGATAAATTATGAACATACAAAAATGGATATATATTTATATTAAAGCAATACATTGAGAATTCGCATTCTCTATGTGATGAGAATATTTACTCTTTTTCAGTTAATTCAATAGAAAACAACTACTTTCCTGGCTATATGCCACGACGAACATTGAATTATATCTATTGAACACACACGATAAGAGTTTGAAAATAAAATATAAAAATTTCTGAAATTGAGAATTTGCATTCTCCTTCAGACAAAAATATGTGTGTATATACATATTTTTGTCTGAAGGAGAATGCAAATTCTCAATTTCAGAAATTTTTATATTTTATTTTCAAACTCTTATCGTGTGTGTTCAATAGATATAATTCAATGTTCGTCGTGGCATATAGCCAGGAAAGTAGTTGTTTTTCTATTGAATTAACTGAAAAAGAGTAAATATTCTCATCACATAGAGAATGCGAATTCTCAATGTATTGCTTTATATAAATAATATCCATTTTTGTATGTTCATAATTTATCTGAGAATATTCCTTTTCAACAATTGCAAAAATTCCTGAAAATTGCAAAAATTCCAAAAATTCCTGGAAATTGCAAAAATTGAAACATTCCTGGAAATTTTGAAAATTCATGAAAATTGCAAAAATTTCAAAAATTCCTGAAAATTTTGAAAATTCATGAAAATTGTAAAAATTTCAAAAATTCCTGAAAATTGCAGAAATAGCAAAAATTTCAAAAATTCCTGAAAACTTTGAAAATTCCTGAAAATTGCAAAAATTGCAAAAATTCCTGAAAATTTTAAAATTCCTGAAAATTGCAAAAATTCCTGAAAATTGCAAAAATTGCAAAAATTCCTGAAAATTGCAAAAAATTTCAAAAATTCTTGAAAATTTTGAAAATTCATGAAAATTGCAAGAATTGCGAGAATTCCTAAAAATTGCAAAAATTGCAAAAATTTCTGAAAATTGCAGAAATTGGAAAAATCCTGAAAATTGCAAAAATTCCAAAAATTTCAAAAATTCTTGAAAATTGCAAAAATCGCAAAAAATTCCTGAAAATTGCAAAAATTTCAAAAATTCCTGAAAATTTTGAAAATTCATGAAAATTGCAAGAATTGCGAGAATTCCTGAAAATTGCAAAAATTGCAAAAATTTCTGAAAATTGCAGAAATTGAAAAAATCCTGAAAATTGCAAAAATTGCAAAAACTTTCAAAATTCTTGAAAATTGCAAAAATTGCAAAAATTCATGAAAATTGCAAAAATTGCAAAGATTCCTGGAAATTGCGAAAATTGAAAAATTCCTGGTAATTGCAAGAATTGCAAAAATTTCAAAAATTCCTGAAAATTGCAAAAATTCCTGAAAATTGTAAAAATTCAAAAATTCCTGAAAATTGCAGAAATTGCAAAAATTTCAAAAATTCCTGAAAATTGCGAAAATTGCGAAAATTCCTAAAAATTGCAAAAATTCCTGAAAATTGCAAAAATTCTTGAAAATTTTGAAAATTCATGAAAATTGCAAGAATTGCAAAAATTCCTGGAAATTGCAAAAATTGCAAAAATTCCTGAAAATTGCAAAAAATGAAGAATTCCTGGAAATTGCAAAAATTCCTGAAAGTTGCAGAAATTCCTGAAGATTGCAAAAATTTCAAAAATTCCTGAAAATTTTGAAAATTCATGAAAATTGCAAGAATTCCTGAAAATTGCAAGAATTCCTGAAAATTGCAAAAATTGCAAAAATTCCTGAAAATTGCAAAAATTGAAAAAATCCTGAAAATTGCAAAAAATCTCAAAATTCCTGAAAATTGCAAAAATTAAGAAAATTCCTGAAAATTGCAAATATTCCTGAAAATTTTGAAAATTCATGAAAATTGCAAAAATTGCAAAAATTGAAAAATTCCTGAAAATTGCAGAAATTGCAAAAATTTCAAAAATTCCTGAAAACTGAAAATTCCTGAAAATAGCAAAAATTGCAAAAATTCCTGAAAATTTTAAAATTCCTGAAAATTGCAAAAATTCCTGAAAATTGCAAAAATTGCAAAAATTCCTGGAAATTGCAAAAATTGCAAAAATTCCTGAAAATTGCAAAAATTGAAGAATTCCTGGAAATTGCAAAAATTCCTGAAAATTGCAAAAATTCCTGAAGATTGCAAAAATTCCAAAAATTTCAAAAATTCTTGAAAATTGCAAAAATTGCAAAAATTCCTGAAAATTGCAAAAATTCCTGAAAATTTTGAAAATTCATGAAAATTGCAAAAATTGCAAAGATTCCTGGAAATTGCAAAATTGAAAAATTCCTGGTAATTGCAAGAA